TCGTACATGATCTCATTACTGTGTATTTTACATTGTCACGTTACTGTGTATTGTACATGGTCATATAACTATGTACTTTACATTGTGACATTACTGTGTATTGTACCTGGTCTTATTACTGTGTCTCGTATATGTCATATTACTGTAAACTAAAGACCACTAAATGATCACTGCTTGTAATGTCATGGTGTGTGTGTGAAGACAACATATCATCAAAAACTGTGAAATATGACCTATAGAAATGTTCACTCCTACAAAAGTTAGCCATTTGCAAATCCTTGCAAACCAGCTTATATCAATTGGTATTGAATATGGTCTGGTATGTATACTGTGTATCATGTATGATTACTGTGTTTCGTAAATGTCACATTACTGTGTTTCGTAAATAGTCACATTACTTCGTATGATACATGATCACATTACTGTTTATCGTTAATGGTAACATTACTGTGTATCATAAATGTCACATTACTTTATATCGTAAATAGACACATTACTGTGCATATGTATCGTATACGGTTACATCATTGTGTGTGATACATAGTTGAATTACGGTGTAATATATTGGTCACATTATGTGTGATGGTTATATTACTGGGTATCGTAAATGGTCACATTACTAGGTATCGTACTGAGAAAATCTGATGGCAGATGTTATGTGGCTATATTACAATTATGGCAAACTTTATTTTAAAATCAGCAATCAACAGACATGTTTCATATTGCAGTTTTATAGACAACACAGTATTCCTGTGACGTCAGATTTACGTCATTCCACTCGGTTAATCTACTCTGAAAATCAAAGTTGAATCATGTCGCCTTGCTGAGGGAAAGACAATAAATTGAGTGAGACAAACTTGTCACTCTCTCACAATTCCTTTAATTTTCTTTTGAATATTCAAATACAGATGATTCGCTGTTTAAGGTCGTAATATGCAAAGCATCCATTGAGATATTTTCTCTGTGTTCGTCTGAAAAAGGACATTCACAAACTACACGTAGTAAGTAACAGACAGTGTAATATGTATTTACTGGAAGATTTATCGCTAAAATTAATTGTATTGAACAATGTGTAGGATGTGAATAGAAGTCAAAGTAATAAGCACGATTTGTTACATAAATAATTTTACAAATTTGCATATATTGATGTAATATACATATTTTTGTTTTTATGATTTAATTGATACAGTACTTTGTAACTGATTTACTGCATCAATTACACGATCACGTAATATGCAAATACGAATTAACATAATGTATATATACGGGATTAGTATTGTGAAGTTGTAGTCATTATTCATGTGTAGGTTTCACTATGACAGAATGATCCTGTCTAAAATATGCCTATATGATCTCTCACATGAATACAATCTAGTAGAGCATTGGAACCACAACTCTCTTCATTGGAATGAAACAATGTCTGAAGGCGAAATGTACAAATACAGGCAAACATTGGCACATTTCCTGTAATTACTCTTCTCCTATTACTATTACTATTAGATATTGAATGGTAACAATTGCCGCCATCATATAGCAATATGTGATGATGTTCTATATATTCTGATCACATACTCGTTGTGTCCATTTTTTCTTCTCTTCTGCTCTCCAAATAAATAGTTTGATTATTTTCAACAATATGCTATACCATACTAAATAAATCTTAGATAAATAGGTAAATTGCTTGATACGGTCGTGTTGTTGAACAGATGAAACAAAGAAATGTGAAGTGAAGGGAGAAAGAGGAATAGAAAAAAAATCAAGAAGGTAAGGAAATATGCTTTTATTACAGTTTTAAATTTACATATTATTGGAAGATTGTGATTTAAATTGTCACAGTGTGTGTTTTATTTGTGAGTTTATACGTCTAATCCTTGCACCTACAAGACACGTGTTTACGATTGCAACACGGAGCAGCTGACGGATCAGTGACGTAGTTCGCCACACTCGTATTGTCTTTACGGATGTCGTCCATTATGAATTCTAGAGCGTTTAGCACAGCAGTGTGAATGGTTTCATATTCCTCTGACCTCATAGGTAGAGGTTTACTTTCAGCTACATCTTTCCGAAGATTAAATATCAGTGGGGGATCATGTCTGTACTTAGGCCCAACTATGCCACCACAAGAGGGCTCCCCACCTGCAATTGTCAATAGCAGGAATGTGGTTAATCTGGTTTGAAAGATATCACCAGTAATATTTATATATTTGCAAATAAATAAATAAGGAAAACTATCCATTTTACCTGTTTGAAATATGGCTTTGTAGTCGCCGAGGCGAACAGCATCCAATTTACCATTCGGTCCGGAGGCCTGGCCGTCGGGATGAAACAGTGTCTGAAGGCAAACAAACAAACATACAAACTTAAGTGAGTATGAATTCAACCTTATAGTCAAACACAAGGTATAATTATGCTAATAAGCTTTTCTGGTAGTGTCGTATTTTAGATTAAATATGTAGCAAAGGGAAAACAAGACAAATCCTAAGCAATACAGACAATATGGAATATGTCACGGATAAGGCATAAAACATTGATACAAATTGATTGGGACGGAGTTTGTTTTAAAATCATTTTATCCTGAAGCTGATCAAATATATTGATTGATGGTGTATTTCAATCAATACAAACAATAGAGAATGCAATAAAATTAGTCTTTGTCTTTCTCAACATTCCAGGCACCATACAGGTTAACAACCTTCTGACTGCCAGATTTTCTGGCCAAATTGTTCTACACTTTTTTCTTATACTCTTCAATATTCCCCGGAATGAACCCTTATTTTGGAGCCAACAGACACAATTTGTGTCGATTTTCAGTTTTCACTCAAAAATTTGGCTGTTTTTGTCCCAATCTTCTGAAGAAAATTGCAGACTATAAATAGGACTGTGGTTGGTGGTGAAAAGGTTAAAGTGAGTTGACATGACTCAAGAACTAAATGCAATTTTGCATCTAATCTGTCAAAGCGTATTCTATTACATGTTTTAACAGCTACACATGGATGGCCAGGTCACGTGTGAGTGACGCGTTGTGAGGCATGGTGACATCTGCCTACGTATCATTCAGGTTTCAGACAACCATGCATTATACCGTTTATTTCAAAAGTAATGTAAATAGTAACAGTCATTCGTTTCTACATTTTGGGAGGATACAATTATGAAATAGGTGTGATGAAAGACTGGATTTCCTTCAAATAGATCTGTTTGTTGCTGGTTGTGGAACTTGGAATGTGGAATGAACCACATTACATCGGCTACAGATAGCCCCTTATATCGGGAGCCGTATATTAAATCCCAGAACATTATTTTGTTTCTATGGCCACTAAATACAACTATTAACTACATTTAAAATAGAATTAACATATTTGGCGAAAGGTATCATAAGATGAGTATCCAAAGCACTTAACAAATAAATGAATTTACATCTTGATTAGTTTTTCAAATTCTGGAAAGCTAATATTGTGAAAAAAATTATCTCTATTTGATTTAATCTGAGTTTGAACAGTTCATAACATAGTGTTTTTCATCACCCACTTCAGATGAGTCGCACAATTTGCATATTCTTTGTTGTTGATGGATATTATTGTATCGCCCTTTCTCAATTGGCAAGTTATGGCTTGAAATTCTTAATTTTGTAATTGCTGATCTTATTTTATAATTCAAAATTACTTTCAGATAATTTTCAAATTTATAATTTTTCTTTACCAGTAAGTATGTCTTTAATTTGTTGCCAACATTTTGATTGTTGTCTTTATTGAGTTGCTTCATCCATTCATTATTATATGTATCTTTAAGTTTATTTTGAATAATTTTTTTTGTTATTAGAATTTAGATTATTAGCTTCCCAGAGTTTGTTACATTTAAGTGTTTCTAACATGTGTTTTATAAAAGTTATAAATGATTTCTGTTTTTGTTCGTGTAGATCCAGTTCATTTTGTAAAGCTATCTTTGTCAGAATCGGGGACTTTCCATGTGCTATCCTTGCCCAGTAGGAGAACACATTGTTAATTACCTCCAAATGTATGGGGTTTCGACCTAATTCGCCCCGTGATGCAATGTTTGAGCTTCTCCTGTGGACTCCTAATGTATTCTTGCAGAATTTTAAATGTAGTTTTTCATATTCCAAATTGTCATTTGTGATTGATTTGAGTGTCCCTTTGTGTTCGAAATTGTTGATGGTATAGACACCCCAAATTTCACTCCCGTATATACAAACTGGTTTTACCATGCTGTCAAATAAATAACATAGTGTGTTAATTTGGGTATTGGCATAAATATTGAATTGTTGTCTAATTGAAAAGTAGCTTTTTTGTGCTTTTAGAGCCATGATTTAATGCAGGTTTTGAAGTTACTATTTGCGTTAAAATTGATTCCTAA